CAATCACTCCTATGCCGCTGTTGTGAGTATGCCCTCAAGTAGTACAACCCCAAAAGTATATCCCACTTTAGAGAAATCTTTAAATGTATATAATTCACAATTTAAACAAAATGTAAATAATAATAATACTGCATTCAATGCAGATCAAATTGTAAATAATGAAATTATAATTAATGCATTAGTTAAATCTCTTGTTGCTCTCGGTAACAACAAAGAGAAAATGTCAATAACTAATAAGACAATAAAAGAAATATTGTTGTCAAATTTAATTTAATGAATACATACTTAAATATAGCCCAGTTTAATATACAAAGCTTACAGAGTAAAAAAGCTCTGTTGCAAAAATACATGAATGAACAAAATATTGATATCTGTCTCATTAATGAGACATGGCTTAAAAGTAACAGTAAAATTCCTAAATTTACATCCTATAATTTCATATTCAAAAACTCAGTAAATACACACAATGGAGTGGGTATTTTAATAAAAGAAAATTTTAAATATAATATCATAACTACTACTTTTTATGAATCAGTTCAGAATATATGTATTGCAATAGAAACATCCATAGGCAAATTAAACATACTATGTGTGTATTGTCCTCCTAATGGAAGATTTGATACCAACAAACTGAAAAAAGTTCTACTTAGTGCTCCTAAGCCATGTCTCATTATGGGTGATTTTAATGCACATCATATTTTGTTTGGTTGTCATACAAACAATAGTAGAGGTAATAACATATACAATCTCATAGATGAACTTGACTTATGTGTGTTAAATGATGGTAGTCCAACCACCATTCAATCACCAAACAGGCAGGCATCAGCAATAGATATAACATTAGTTAGTCCCCGAATAGCTCCTCTCTGTGAGTGGAAAGTCCATGATGACCCGATGGGCAGCTATCACTATCCAACTCAGGTAAGTGTAAATGTGAGGCCATCAGTGTATGAGGTCCGACCTGTAGAAGAAAAATTTTTATATAATAAAGCAGACTGGTCGAAATATTTTTCTTTATCAGAAAGTATTTTTTCCCACTTAAATGTACATAATAATGTAAATAATGACACACCATTACAATTTTATAATAATTTTGTTAATATTTTATATGACATCAGAGACAAGACAGTACCAAAATCAAAGTTTAAACAAACTATACACACTTTAAGAAAACCAGTGCCTTGGTGGAACAAAACATGTGATGATGCTGTTCAACAGTCTAAGAGAGCCCTTTTACAATATAGAGTTACCCCAACAATTGTTAACTTCATAAATTATAAAAAAGTTGATGCTAAAAAAAAAAGAATTCTAAAGGAACAACGCATAGATTCCTGGCAAGAGTTGTGCAGTAGCTTCAATAGAATGACACCTATTTCAAAAATATGGAGTTCCATTAAAAAGTTTAAAAGGATAGGTACATCTTCCAACAAAAATTTTAATGATGACTGGGTACAAAGTTTCTTAGATATGTTGACAGCTCCATCACAATGCAATGATGCAAATTTAGTTGATATATTGAATCAATCTGATAAAAATGACAGTGACTCCTTTCTCAACAGACCCTTTACACTGGCCGAGCTTCATATTTCGCTTAAGAGTAGGAAAGATACAACACCAGGTTTGGACAATATTACATATAAATTAATAAAACAGCTACATCCAAATGCAATTAAAATACTATTAGATATATACAATAAACTTTGGGAGAATTTAATAATACCGGAATCCTGGAAAACCCAGTGTGTTATTCCAATTTTGAAACCAAATAAGGATATTAACTGTGCATCATCATATAGGCCCATTTCCTTGTCATCGTGTCTAGGCAAACTATTTGAAAACATGTTAAAATTACGTTTGGACTACTTTACTGAAACACAGAATAAGTTGCCAGATATTCAGTTTGGATTCAGAAAAGGCAAAAGTTGTTCTGAAAGCTTTGTAACTCTTATATCCCTATTAAAAAAAGCAAAATTAAGTCATTCCAATGTTGTGTGTGTATTTTTAGATGTTAAAGGTGCTTTCGATAATGTAAATATAGAATCCTTAATTCATGTGCTACATAATTTAAATTTCCCCTGCAAAATATTAAACTGGATTTTTAATTTTTTAAAAAACAGAACTGTTTATGTTAAGTATAATAATATCCTACATGGACCTAAATATGTTAACAGGGGAACAATGCAGGGAGCAACCCTGTCCCCTCTATTGTATGGCTTGTATACATCTGAAATCCTCAATTATGTGGATACTACAAAAGTTAACATACTACAGTTTGCAGATGATTTGCTTTTATACACTGAGAGTCAAAGTTTGCCTTTGGCTATAAATAATATAAATACTGCACTAAATCAATTACAAAAGTATTATTCAAATATTCTAAAACTAGAAATCAGTTCAGAAAAAAGCTCTGTGTTAGTATTTAGTAGAGATACATTCACACAAACTAATCTTAAAATTATGTATAATAACAAAATAATACCCATTGTCCATCAACACAAATTTTTAGGTATAGTTTTGGACAATAAATTAAAATTTGATAAACATATAGATTACATTTGTCAAAATGCAATGAGGAGCATAAATATTTTGAGATGTTTAGCAGGAACTTACTGGGGCTCTGATCCCAAAACACTCAATATACTGTATAAAAGCATAGTCAGAAGTCATTTTGATTATAGTAGTTTAGCCTATATGACTGCTAGTACCACGTTGTTGAGGAAATTAGATGTTATACAAAATATAGGGTTGAGAATCATTAGTGGAGCTATGCGTTCCACGCCTATAAATAGTATGGAAGTTGAAAATTGTATACCTCCATTGTCTCTAAGACGTTTGCAACTGGCAGAAAGATTTTGTATAAAGGAATTATCTTCCAGTAATAGTATTGTGCTTAAAAATATTTTATATCCTGCACAGCTTTCTCAGTTAGTTGTAGGTTCCCCCATATCAGCATCTGTTATTATTTCAGGATCATTACCTGAAATTTCAATAATAATGACACATGTTAAAAATGCTACAGGTGGAATATATATAAATGACAAATGGCCAGTATACAAATGTCCATATGATTCACTAATCTGTTTCCTTGACACTACATTTCATTTAGATTTAATATATAACAAATATGACTTTGCAGAATTTTTAAATAAGAAATCAGAATTTTATGTTATTTATACCGATGGTTCTAAAAATTTAAATGATGTTAAAGCAGCTTATTATGATCCACAAAAGAAATATACTAAATGTATTAAACTCAAAAGTAATTGCAGCATCTTTACAGCCGAAAGTTATGCTATATTAAGTGCTTTGTTATATGTTAATAACCTTGTAAATAATGTAAATATACTAATAGTTACTGATTCAAGAGTGTATTGGAGACTTTATCCAGTGGCAATTGTACATATAAACAAAATTATATTATATATGAAATAAAAAATAGGTTAATAACTTTAAGTAAAAATAAGAATGTAGAATTTGTATGGGTACCCTCACACAGTGGCATACCTGGAAATGAGGTCGTAGACTTGGCAACTCGTCAACAATACGATGAAGATCAGACAGACATTTTGAAAGTGCCATTTACCGACTACTACCAATATTTTAAAAGTAACTTACGAAGAGTGTGGAAAGAGTACTGGAACATAACCACAGAAAATAAAGGAAAATGGTATGCAGAATTACAACCAGACTTACCAGTGACACCTTGGTACAGCAAATTCAAATATTACAATAGAAAATTTATCACTATCATCAATCGTCTACGTTTCGGCCATTATTTAGTTCCATCCCATCTCAACAGAATTAAAATCACAAATGACAACAGATGCAACCACTGTTTCAAGATAAATGCTGACATAAACCATATTATATTTGAATGCCAAGTTTTCAACATACAACGGTTGATTCTTGTCAGTGACATTAGTGACATCGCAAAGGAACACTCACAAAGTATTCCCCGCCGCGTTCAAGATTTGCTATCTCACTTTGCATATTTTATTCCAATATATAACTACATTGTACATACTGTGGAAAAAATTTAATATTAATGAATAATTACTAAAATTGTACTGTCTAAGCTTGTATAATAGTTTATTTCTTATGTTTTGTATTAAATTCATTATAAAAATGTATTCGACTGAAGGACTTGTATCCATGGTCATGAATAAAGCATTATTAAAAAAAATTAACGTCAGCTCTATCACCACGAAAACATGAGTCATGAACTGGAATCTTAAATGGATATCCAGGTTTTAACCACGTCTCTTGAAGAGCTATAATGAAAGGGGAAAAATTGTTTATCAAATAAAATAGATCAGATTTCTTATTTGTTATGCTACGACAGTTCCACTGAATAATGTGGGCTTTGTTGTCCATTGTGAGTTGATAAAATTTGAGATATAACATTCAGGTTGGCAGCGTTGGACGGTGAAAAATTGGTTTGTGTCATATTAGATTGCGTCAAGAATTTAATTAACATAAACATAATATCAGCAACTGATTGATTATTAGTATTATTATTATTACTTAGTGCACAGCCATTTGAGGGCGCAGGAATGTTATATTCATTAATTAAGGGCTCATGAGCAGAACGATCATATCCACGTTGTGGTTTCTGTGGAACGTGGTACGTGTCTTTTTATAAGACAAATGACATTCTCATGGTGTCATATATCATAAAATATACATCTATTTAAGATATGATTTTTTTGTGATTGAAAAAAAAAATTGTAGCTTAATACTGTAAAGATTATTATTTAGACGGAAACGACAATACTTTTATGTTGTATATACAACGACGGTAATGGAAACGCTACTAAATGTACGCAAATTTAAAAATCTTTTATAGAACCGTCATTAAAGCTTTAGTAATATGTTAAAGTTAAACAGTTCTCGATTACACAAATCGGTAACTCAGGTACACCACAATTCCGCTGTAGGTGGTAACATTATTTCAAAATTTGACATTTACAGCTGTCAATTTAGTCTATGGGATAAAAAAAATCTACATACTTGTCATTTTTAATTTTCTTCACAGATAGATTAACATAGAATTTTATTATTATGAATATCAATTTAAATCAAAATACTAAGCAGAGTAAAAGATATAAAAATAAATTGAAATATTTAAAACTAAGAGTAAAAGGTTTATTACTGGTATGTAAGTAGAATTTTACAACTCAATACAGATTGGAATCATGAATTCCTCAGTATACTATTATTAGTCTAATGTAAAATACTGAAACAGTAAACTTTTCCTTATATAGTTACAATTACATTGCAAAATATATTAACGGCCTAAATAATTTCAGTTAATTGCCAATTCTACACCTACTTACCCTTCACCACTTAATTACCAATTTTGACCAGTTTGCTTGATCGCTATCAAGCATACTGGTCAAAATTGGTCGAAATATAGTTAGGATATTTTTTTATAATTGATGATTATGATGATATTATATTACCGTGTGGTACACCCGCCTCCGCTAATCGGTGCGGCTGCGGTGGATGATAAGGTTATCATGAGGTCTGTGCAGTTATTCTACCATGCCAAATCCACCAGGAATTTGTTAAGAAGATTTCCAGAGAAAACACAGCTCAACCTGTAGTATCTTGCAGTAGTATCTAGTAGTATCAATGGGGTTATTAGTTCACAATAACTAACAATGCCATTCCCCCCTAAAAATACATAATTAAATATGAACTTTAATAACCAAAAACCATTTTTGTTGTTATGTGAATATTGAACAAGGTAATGCTTAGAAGCATTAATGAGTTATGATCTAAATGTATATAGTCAAATTATACACTTTTCTACAGTTGAATACACATAGGTATTAACTAAGATTGACATATCCTCTAAATTAATAATTTTAATATCTGTACTTGTAGAATATTTTAGACAACACATCTTATTATACAAAGCATATCATAATTTATGACTCACTTATTCACTTTTTTTTTATTTATTATTAATATTAATAATAAATACACTCATGATTGTTTTACAGGAAAATGCAGCACTATGTGATGAAGTAGCAAAAATCCAGGAGACCATTCTTATTGTAAAAGATGAAAGGAAATATTTGCTTCGTAAATTGTTAGAGTATGAAAATGAAACTGAGTTTCAAACTTATCATCACGAACCTGTGGTAGCATTAAATGGCTCAAGAGGAAAAGTAAAGAAAAGGAGAAGCATTGAAGATGCTGGAAAAACTGTTTCTGCATCTTAGTATTTAAAATCACATAATAATGTTATGTGTTTATTATAATCAAGATTGACAAGGCACAAGGACTTACAGTTACCATCTTGTTTAAAGAATTTACTGATAATAACCATAATAATGCAGTGTTATGAAGGATATATAATTAAGCATATTTGATGGAGGTATAGTGATGAAGAATTGATAATTTCCACCATAAAGCACAAGGATATAGATACTGGTGGGAATATATAGACTGCTTATTAGTGTTTTCAACCTTTACGAAATAAGTTTTTTAAGGTAATATTGCTGCTGAGAAGGAATATAATATTCAAAAATAGACTATAAAGATTCAAAATGGCAGTGAGCTGTTAGTTATGTACTAATAATATGACTGATTTATATGTAAAACATTACTATAATTAACATTAGTAATGATAACTTATTATATTATTAACTGACTTCTCACTGATTACTATAAGATTTCTATTATTTTAATGGTGGTGCAATATATATATATATATATATATATATAATACAATAAATTCCTGGAATCCCTATTTAGCTATACAGCTCTCCATTGTTACCTTTGTCTTACACTTAGTAATATTGTTTTTATCTATTTCTACATATTAGTTTATGTAACTGTATTTTCTGTGAGGGGAACAATAAATAGAATATTAATAAATTAAGTATAGAAAATTATTCACGTAATATTTGGACTGATTAGTGTGAAAAGTAATATGGCTATGTCAACTCGTTTCTAGGCAACAAATTTTGTTGTTAAAAATATAAAGTAGAAATAACAATATTGTTATTCATGCATTATATTCCTAGTATATTACAATATTCCACTGCACTATATCAAAATTTACTTACTATTTATTAATACTTAGAGAGATGTGAAGAAGTATACATATGTCAACTTGTCTCTAGGCGAAAAACAGTTGTCAATAATAATAATTATATGTATTAAAAATAAAGATATTATCTTTCATGCATTTTATAATATATTTACTAGTAAATTACAATATTACCACTACACTTAATTAGTATTTACTTAGTAAATAGTTTATTATATAATAAGAAATTGTATTGTAATAATTATTTAATATGAATGTTAGCAAATTAAAAGTCTGTGTACAGTCAAAATCATCTCATATTGAATAATGTAACTATATAAAATAAATTTAAAAATGTACCACTATTTTTGACCCAAGATAGAAAAACATGTTTTTGATTCTCATAATTTTGTTTTTCACTTATTATTTATAACAAATAAATTTTAATTTTAACATCAAGCAAATACTTATACAATATTATATCTAATGAATAGTTTACAAAAATTAAGCTATTCTTTATCAGAAACATCATCACAGTCTATAAAAGATAACAATTGTTTTTTATTTGATTTCTTTTTTGATACCTTTGCTATGTTTTTATCAGGTTTAGACTGTTTGGTGGAGTTTGAGGTTTGTTTACTTTTACTTTTAAAGATTACCCTTTCATTTAAATCTGCTTTTGTTTGTGATTCAATTTTGTCTATTTTCGTTTGTTCAATCTCGGCTTCTTCAGCTGTAAGATCACCTTCTTTCAAAACTACAACTTGAGGCTGTTCGCTTTCGTTGTCCACAAAATCATCTTCAGCAATTTCAAGTTTGTCAAATTTATGATTTTTATCATCGTAGCCAGCTTGTCGTTTTAGCACCTTCAAAAATTCTGGGTCCTCCGGTTTTATATAGCTTACATTTCGTTTCCTGTTCATGCTTAAATTCTATTTATTTTATAATAAAAAAACAAGAAAATTTAATAAACAATAGTGACAATTACTGACGTCTACTGTCATGTCGTACAGTAAGTGTGGCAAGCATATTTCGAATGAACTTGAACTTTAAGATTGAAAAATAGGCTCAGATCCAGTGAGGAGAGATTGTTAAGCCATGTTCATGTGGTACATGTAGTACGTTCTTTCTTTTGTTGTATTATTTTAACCTGGAAATATGTGTTATATAAGAACACATTATTAATAATATTTTATCAAACGAACTAAAAGGAGGATCTGCGAACTAGTATCTAGATAGATACTTATCACTCTTCCAAAATCCAATCTCGATAAAAGTTTTTAGCTATAGTGAACATTTTACTCATGAACTCCTGTTAGTCAAGTAAACTGAACCATAATATATACAAATATTTGGTATTCAGCAGTAACATTTTTCGCAGAGATTAAAATATTCGACTTATCGTGTAAGTCGACTTTCTGCGCATAGAAGGAGAATTAATTCATAGACTATTTATTAAAAATATACGCATAAAAAAGTATATATACATAAATAAACGTCTTTTTGTCCGGCCGGTGTTTGTCGCGTTTATTAAAATACAATTCCATATTAACTCTGAAATTATGTAAATAACAATTACAATTATGTCTGGTGTAGCAGAATTTAAACATTTGTTCCCTATTGACAGTGTACAGAGGGTTTGTGATTTATTTAATGAACAACTACGCAGCGAAAAAGAGCCTGATTTGGCTTTGTTTTCTATAATTATTGGAGCAGTTGAAAATAACTTAACTAATGTAAAAAACAACGATAAAGATGTAAATTTATCAACGAACAAGTTTGTCAAAATGAAATTTCCATGTGTTGAATGGGAAGAGGTGAAGTCTCTTCACGATAAATTCGTGTCTTTGATGAAAGGAGGAGTGGATGCCAAATTGCTGAATGGAGAGCACGCAACACGCGATCTCGTCAAAAGAGTTGCAGACGTCGTCTGGAACTCGCTCACTCGAAGTTATTATAAAGATAGAGCCCATTTACAATCTATCTACAGTTTCTTGACTGGTAATAAATTGGATTGTTTTGGTGTCGCTTTCGCTGTTACTGCGGGTTGTCAAGTTTTGGGGAAACGTGATGTTCATCTAGCTTTGTCTGAAGATCATGCTTGGGTAGTTTTCGGTAAGGATGGATCAGATACTGCTGAGGTAAGTAATGAAAATCTTGGGATATATATTATCTTGGTAGTGTTGTATAATGTGTGTACTACGAAAATACACATTATATGTAAGTTATATTTAAATATACAAAAACTTTAAATACAGTTGCAACTAAATTAAGAATGCAAATGCGAAGAAAAGTTAAGTCTCTTGTATGACATACTTAAATACTGGTTTGAATAATAGTTATGACATCAATAAATGTAAACAATGACCAGCATTTGTCTGCAGGTGACATGGCATGGCAAAGGTAATGAGGACAAAAGAGGGAGATCAGTAGGTGATGGTGTTTCAGCTCGTTCATGGTTATATGTGGCTGGTAAACCTGTAGTGTGTACTCGTATTATGGAACTGGCAGCATTGGTGTCTTCTATTAACCCCACACTGACACCTACCATTGATGTACATGAGGTGGCTCTAATGCAATACACACTACTATGGTTGCTGTATGATAAAGGTGAGTAATCTTGTTTTCTTGTGTATGGATAAAAGTGAGTCAGGGCTATTCCCATAGTGATCTAGACATTTGGATTATGCTGAATAACTTTTTTCTGTTTGGAGAAAGTAAGAGAAATTGTATTTTACACACAAATTTTACCATACAATAAATTATTGGCCCTTGAATACCGTTAGAAATGTCATCCTTGTTTGAACTTGTGTTGTTTGTCTTATCAGTATGCATGCCTGTAATCAAAGAGATGCAGGAAAATATTTCAAAAGAAATTGAAGTATTTAAATAATTATTATTCATTGTTTATCACACAGCTAATAATATAACTAAATGAGTGCTATATTAAAGTATCTACCACTGGTTTGTTTTAAAAATGAATCTGCAGTCATAATCATTCTATGGAAAGTTAAAGCACAGTATAGCAGAGAATGTATAACATATATTACAAAAAAACAGCTAATATATAAGGTTTACAGGTTACTCAAGATATTTTTACAAAGATTAACAATATAAAGAAGTACTTCAAAGAAATTATATTTTTATTCCTCCATAGGACAGTTAGACGCATATCCAATGGCACTTGGAAACCTTGGTGACTTAGTAGAGTATATGAAAATATCTAATAGTAAAGAAGATACAAGTGATTCATCAGTGTCAGATATTAGTTACATACATTCAAATAATGGAACACCAAGGCCAGACTCAGCTGCATTATATGTTCAAGCTATAAGATCATCCCGTACACATTATGAAGACAGGCATGTTTATCCATACACATTTCAAGGTGGTTATTACCATCGTCAAAAAATGTATAAAGAAGCATTCCATGCTTGGGCCTGTGCTGGTGATGTTATTCGACAGTAAGTGTTGTAATGTATATTTTATTTATTTATTACCTCCGTTATTTTAGTTTATTATAGAGAGCTGGTGTACAACATGAAGGATTACACATTTTATTTTATTTCTTCATAATAAATAATGCTGTACTATAAGAGCTCTCTGTGTAAAACTGATGGCTTGGGTCTTAAGATTTTTTTTTTACAGTTATAACTATTCCCGTGATGATGAAGAGATATATAAAGAATTCTCAGAAATCGCCAATGAGATAATACCTCAACTGATGAAGGCAGAAAGTTCTGGACACTCTGCAAGATCCATTTTAAAAGATCCAGAGTGTTTCGCTTCATTACTTAGGTACAATTTATAGTATTTCTTTTAAATTGTATACTGGAGAACTATGTTTACTGTATTCAAAACAGTGATAGAATTTTTATGTTTGTCAATATGTTTGTGCACAGTATGGACAGCTCAGAAATGGCTCAACCGATTTGGGTGTGGGTGAACTCTACATTAAAAATTTTGTGTTTGCATTTGGTTGGTTAACAAAGAAAGCTATTGCTTTTCATGATATCGGGAATACCATGGGGCAAAGCCACAAAAGCGTGGGTTCAACTAGTATGATTGCATACAAGTGAATTTATTGGAATATATATATAGCTGTATCTTTTATTTTTTTCTTTCTTATTTATATTTACAGATTTTATGACGGCATTTGTAAATGGGAGGAAGGCAGTCAGACGCCAATTCTCCATATCGGATGGGCTAAGCCTCTCGTCAGCACGATATCTAAATTTGATGCAGAAGTTCGAGCACAGGTCCATATTATATGTAATCCTGATACAGATGAACAAAGTGATAAATCAAAAGGTTCCTCTGTCAAAGAAGAAAGACCTAATGAAAATGACAAGTGGAACAATAATTCTGAAAATATTGAGATGACTGTGCGTGAACAACTAACAGCAGCTGTTAACAGTAGACCTCGAGTTACACTTTATAGCCACAAAATGGCGGCACTAAAGCCTCTGTTGTTAGCTGAGAGGCTAAATACCCATGCACTGCAGCTTCAATTAACAGCTCAGAGCCAACTACAACGTCCACAAGCTCCAACAAAGAGGCGAGATGATGACGAACCCAGTCCATGCACACCAACGCCTCGTGCTAAACGAGCACGCCGAGAGCGTTGATGTACGTCTGTAAAATAAATATCAGGTTTAGTTAAACTAAATACGCTTTCTAGGGCTGTAATCAAATTCAGCTACCTTAATTTGAACTTGTGATGTACTGTATATATATATATATGTTAAGTTTTTAATTTTAGAATTAATGTATATTTGGTCTATTGCGGTGGTGCAGTTAATTGTAGGTCTTTGGCGTAAACTTTATCCCAGGTTCGATTAATGAATTGAGAGGTTAGGCAAACTAGAGTTGTGGTGTTACCATGATTCATTGTTTGGTTATTAATAATTCGAGAATCAGTCTACCAATGTGATTTTTTTGGTACTTGTTATTTTCTCGGTTTATTATTAATATTTTATTAGTTAGGTACATGATTGTTACCTGTTTGTGACCACTATGCAATAATAATACCATTTAAATAGATACTTCACTGCTATGCAGTAATTACTTATATTATTTAAAGTTTTGTATGTGATAATGAATACCATACTTTATAATCAAAGTAAACATACAGGATGGGGTTCACAAGAAACTACAGATAAAATTACTTATTATTTTCATTCTTAATATAACTATGTTGTTGTTAAGTGCTAATAAATATACCGGATGACTTTATTTCGTATGATAAAAAATGAGTATAATAGGTACATGAATGTGATACAATTGATATTAGTCTAAAAAATATCAATAATTCTGATACCAAATAGTTACACCATTATATGAAATAATATGTACCAAATAGGGAAGGGGATTGTTAGTAATATGGACTATGGACTAATAATCATATTGCTAGCAATGGACTATGTCAGGATGACCTCCACGCGGTTCCCCTTGGAAGCCATCGTGGTAAATTGCCATTTGCCAAGATGCGCTAACTGACCTGACTTCATGCAAATTTTATCATCCTTCACTGGTGGTCCGCTATCGTAAACCATTAGCACAGAAGGGTACAACATTCCATTATCCTCCATAATTAAATAGGTACCAATTAATCAGACAAGAAATTTCAACCCACAAGCAAAATGAACCAAGTCTGCAGAAATAATAAAATCAGTTCTATCCAAAAATAAAATATAGGACTTCATTTATGAAAGGCAAGCTGGGGTGTTCCACCACTGCGGCAGTTCAGGTTGACTATTATCAATTCATTTTTATCAAAAGTGAAATGAAGGAGTTGTAATTATGGCGTATAAAAACACGTCTAGACGTCATAGTAGTTATCTACAATTTTTAATCCCTTGAAACACTTCTTTAATTCAAGTAGATTGTTTCTTCATATTTACATCATTTGTGAATTGTGTTCTGTGTTTATTAATAATGAAGAGTACCAGCTCGGAGTACTATGATCCCCTACCGGTCTCCCCCGTCTTCCAACTGTTTTCGACGATAAACGCACAGACCTCACCACAGATTCCGTTCGACCTGTGCCAGGCGGCCGTACACGTGCAACCTCTGCTTAGTTTAAGTTAAATGTTATTGATATTACCAATCAAAACTACTAAAAAATAATTATACGTAAGTGGTTAATGTCGATGGCAAAAATGCCACAGAAGAAACAAAGTTGAATTAGTTCCCTGGTGCTCTCTTAAATTTCTGACGGTTGGTGCGTTCTCGCAGCTTTTACCCCAGAAAAAAATGCAAATTCTTAGTATAGATTTAATTACCTACAGGCAAATAAATGTCATCCGGTATGTGACTGCATAATCATTCCATATAAAAGTCATAACATAAATCAGGATTGTACATTAAGTATTTTTAGGAACATAGTTTATAAATATATATAGTGAAAACACTGGCTTTTGAAATTTTTAACTGTTTGTATATTGTATACATAATTATAGAATATAAGAATTAAAAATATATAATATTATTTATTGACATGTAGAGTAATTGATTCTATTTGACAATAGATAGTGTACAAAATAAATATTTTACCCATTTCGGGGATAAATAAAATATACGCGGGTACAGCTGGATACTGAACATTTTGACAACCTATTGTATATCTGTTCTTGAAATAATGTATATATTTAAAATAGATTCAAGTATTAACATTCGAATGTTATTAGTAGGTGTAGAAATAAGTTTTAAATCTGTATACATTGATGTGAAATCTGAATAGAAGAAAATTAAATCTGAATATAGTATATAGATACATCTTTTTATTAAGAGCAAACATTTAATGGTGATTATCAGTATTTTTATACTTAATTATTTTTACATTATATTTATTCATAATTATGATACATTCCTTTAGAGGTAAATTATATAAAGGGTTGTTTAACAAATATATTTGAAATGTATATTATTACTAGTAATATTAAATTAGACATGGTATTTATTATACAAGTAAAATAATATGACAACATAATTTCGTAATTAATATACATGCATTTTAAACCCTGTAACTTGTTAACGTCGTTTCCCAGATATTAATTCGTAAAAGTTTGTACTTTAATAATGTTTTGCTTTAAAGTTTATCTGTGTAGATATCCCTAGAAATACTATTTTAAATAAAAAGATATATTTTTTTAAGCATTGTTTTATATAAAAAGCGTTATCTTGTAGCGTAGCTCGCTCAGGCACTATTGTAAATACATAGGTATTGTATATATTTAGTAAAACTTCGAGTAATTACATTGAAAGGTAATATACTATATAGCTTTTATGATTTTTTAATTTCAATCGTTCTTAAAATGTTGGCCACTTAGGCCATATATTATAGCCAAGTTCATTAGGCATTTATGTTATATTTATATGGTATATTATCTAAATGTGATGTTTATAAATATAAATCTAAACACATTGCCAATTATAAAATACAAAATTTGGTTTTAAAATCTACAAACTTTATTTACTGACTCTAGAATCTGGATAGAAAATCTCTAAAATTTGTTTAATATGAGTCACATTTTTTTATGAAGAACATACTTTTAATTGTAATTAACAGTATCTACTTTTTTAAATATTTTTACTTAAGACACGTTTCTATAAAATTAAATTATGAAAATTATTTATTAACAACAAATTAAAAACTTGGGTCGGCTCTTATTTTTTATTATACAAATCAAATCAAAAATAATTCATTCATGTAGGACAATTTATCCTTATTTTTTTACTTCGTCTCAGCTTTGGAAAATATTAGGCTTATCTCCAATATGGAATATCAGCTTCTGTTATGAAACTCCTTTCCATTCTAGTGCTTGGTTTTATTTTTTCAAAGGTCTCATATGACCATATTATGCCCATTAGCGTAGATAACAAATAGTCTAAAATTTTATGATAACTATTTATATTGTGTTTTGAATATACAGATTTTGCACTACATCAATTCCGACCGTACTGCCATTGCCGATCAATACGGTTTATGATAATGGAATGGTGCAGTCGCCAGCGCTAACGGTTTACGCTGGCGCGGCACCATTGGAGGAAGGTAAGATGAGCATGAGGTCAGGTCAGTTACCCCATCGTGACGAATTCACCAAGAATTCATCACGATGGTTTCCAAGTGGAACCGCGTGGAGGTCAACCTGACATGATACATTGTTAGCAATAAGATCATCGGTCCATATTACTAACAATGCCCTTTCCCCCCGATCAATATGATTTTAATATTTTTATCACAGTATGTATGTCAATACTCCTTACTTTAAACACTCACACTAAATTAAAGGCCTTCTCTTTTTTATGTTATCATATGTAAAAAAGAGGAGTCTTATAGTGTGAGTAAAAAAAAGTCTTATATCCTACAAATATGTAGGTATTCATTTTTTTTTATGAACAATCCAAATAAGTGTACACTATTTTTCTAAGACACTCACAGTCTTTTATTTAGAAATAAGTTTTCTTTTTTTAGATACCTAAATATAATATATTAAGGAGTTCCAAACATACTTGTGAACTGACGCACATCAATGATGTCGAGGGTGTTAATCTGATATCTTTATGACAAACTATTTAAGACAATTCTTTACTGTATTAGGACGTTATCGTCGATATCTTCGATGTTTCCGAAAGATTGTGTAGATAGACATTGTTACTTGACTAGTTCAATTATATAGAAACTTATTGTATATAAGTACATTATAATAATATAAAGTATTTAGGTTCTTTCTTGTTCTTGAACAAACCGATTAGGACGACGGGGTGTTGTTATAATGGGGTCTAGTGGACCCATCGCTAGCAATGTATTGCGTCAGGTCAACCTACAGTCGGTTCCCCCTGAAAACTCGTAGTTAATTCCTCATGAAGAGCTAATCGGCTTTCATCCTCCCCATATCATCTTCCACTGGCACCCTGTCAGCGTATGTCGTTAGCGTAGAAGGCTACACAAGTTTATTCAAAAAAATACATATGTACGTACTTAATAATACTTCCCAACTTATAATACTTTATTGTTAAAGTTATTCAAATAATTATAGTGATTTTTAAGATGTATTAAAGTTAGAAATTTTATGGGATGCTAGAAAATAATTTACTGTTCAAGTCAATCTGTACTATGATTTTTATCATAATTCGTATCTGGAACTTCACTGTCAGTAGAGAAGGGAAATAATAAATACTTTCTAAACCCTTAGATTTAATGGATATAATAAATTTAATTGTATATAATTTAAATAAACAATAATTATTAGCTTTATATCCTAGCTATACGAATAAAATAGACAGTCTTCGATTCAATTAAATCAAGCACACAGAGGTTTCCCAATCTGAAAAACTATAAGAATTAAATCTTAAAATATATTTTTTTGGTTTAGATCATATTTATCTGTAAGATTGAACCGCTTAATTTGGTTTGTAGTTACTTGTTCATTTCTCAAAAGCTGCTATTATTTCGAAGAGGTTTATTTGCACTTTAAGACTTTAGAGTAGTACTTAAATATATATTAGTCTTGCTTACTATTGTCTTGTTTATAGCTGCGATTGTTAATCAAATAATTGTATAAGCTTCATTTAATATTACTCGCTAATGTAAACTTTTTACCTACTTCTTCACCGAGACTGGATAAATGGGTATAAGAAATTATAGGTAGAAGCGTGTTTTGAAACTTAATGTTGAACCAGAGTATGATTTGTATAATATGTAACTATTTTAATATAACTGGTCAAGTAGCCTTGTAAACCAACAAAGTATTGTTATTTATCCTCAACACCTGTAAATGACATCATTTTACGTTAATTAAAAAGCTTTACTTTAATAGTTATTAATTATTAATAAGTATTCATCGTAATAATTATAATACGAACTCACTAGGTATGAGACTAGGTGTCTTATTAGAGAGCAGTTGTTGAGATCTGTGCTTTTTATTAGTATGTGATTATAGATGCATCAAATTTAAAGCAAGCGTTAATTTAAAGAAATATAGTAAGTATTTTCATAAAAATTCAACAACCTGAACGAGTTTTTTAGAAGATCTCTGATTTAATAATATAGTGGTGAATAGTGATCAAATTATAATCCTTACCATATCATAAATACGACTGAATATTATATTATTTTTGGCTTAAAGAAATCAATGAATAGAGATCGATTAATTGATGTTGATATAACAAGTACACATCAAGTTCATGATACGATCGTCCTAGTTATTAAAATTTATTGCCATACTACCTACCACGATGAACGCTTCTGTTTACCGCCGCACAGTGCCTATGCTAATCAACGTATGTTACACTGGCATCACATACACGCTCAGTCACCCGCCCCCTAAAAGATGTCATAATACTTTGATCTCCTTATTTTAGCATATAATTTCGAAAATTAAGTGATTTAAACATAATTATGTGAAACGTATAGTTGTTTCCGTAAGATACTATGAAATTCTATGTATGTAATTAATAATCTAATTAATACTTGATTATAACATTGTAAATTTTACGTTGAATAATGTAATATGTAAAGAAAGGATAGCACGTGTTAATATATTTTTGTTCTTCGGACATACAATAAATATTTATACTTATCTCTGCATTACTTTTTCCAGACATATTGCCGTTATTTTTATCGAAAGTGGTAATTTAAACTGAAGTTTCTGTATATGTGGCCACGCTGAGTTTAAAAACAAATGGTAACAAGTCTACGCTGGAAACTCTTTTACATGGACATACATGGGCTTATCTCTTATTATTTATAAGAGATAAGCCCATGTATGTCCAGTTTCGTGATTCAATCCATTCAAATTTTGTGTAAGATCCATTTAGATCAGTCGTGAAAAGGTAAGATCCTCCGATCAATTCCCTATGCCATTCAAACGGGGATCGAAATTACGACGACTTGAGAGGAAATTTAAATACTGAGTGGCGACCTAACGACTAAAATTGTATTCGTCAGGCGGAGGAGTTGGGTTTCAGCCGTTCTATAAATCTTTTCGCCCGTTTGTAGTATCTTCCGCACTCGTCAGCATATCATTCGGCGATCCTGTAAAGGCCAGATGAAGCCAACAGCATCAGAATAGCTCTAAAAAAGTGAAAAGGTAATAATTAACAGATATTCATGAAGTTTGTCTAAAAAAACGGGAAAACCATCGGGAAAGCCATTACGACCTTGATCCCAGATCGGTTAGAGGAATATCGGTGTTTCTATCTAGCTAATATACCATAATACCTATATTGTATAGTACCTAAATTGCTAACGTTTTATTTTGTGTCGGCCAAATTCGAATTCACAGCTCAAGGTCAAGTCGGGGTAAGAATCCTTAGGCTATTGTGTTAAGACTAATTAGAGCCAATTAACGATTACATATTTTAAACCAATTGGACCAACCAGTTTCAGAAATAGCGATTCCGTGACGTTGCAACGAGGTTACTGAATCGACATTTGATATAGAGAATTTTTATCGATATGTAAAGTTGGGTTTATGTTGCAATGCTATTTGACAGTGTCAAATGACGTCAATAGAATCGCATTATTGATAGATGACGTCATTTTCACCATCATAAGAAAATCGTTGCGATCGAAGTAAGATAATTAGCCCACCGATCTTTATCATAGAGTTATATATTATGTATACTTTATGATCCACCCTTACCCATACCAAACTATGAAGAGGTGCTACGCATATACCTGTTAAATTCCAAAGTAGTGATCGACTAAAGACTTTTTGACAAAAAATCTCGAAAATACTTTGTCAACCGCCGCGGCCCGAGTTGACTTGGTAATTCGAGTCGAAACGAACTAAAGACAAATCATATTTTTTTGACTCGAGTCACTTGAAGTCACTTCACTATTCTTTAGTAAATTGAACAGTATATGCTCTGTCCTTTTTTAGATATGTTTTTTTATAAACAATAAATAAAATACAAGATTGTTTAGAATAGAAATGTAATTGTGTATCACTTAAATAAATGTGATAATATTGTGTTTTAATTAATGTCATGTCCAAATTTTTAGATGTAGCAGTTGAATGTATTCGTGAAATTGTCGACAATAATCGATGTGGCGTTTGGTAAACATTTTAAATTATAAATACTTATCTAGTAGTTCTTGAAATTTAATTTCATATTTATTTGGTTCCTATGAAACTATAAGAATTCAGTAAGTAAGTAATTCAGTGTACTACAATAATGTTGAAAAAGATTTTTTTTCTATAAACAGTGACAAGTCAAATGGACTACGTCAAAGGTACACCTGCGGGTTTTCTGTTTGTGAGACCTGTGCGTCTGAAGTACAGGAATGTATACAGTGCATGACTATTACAAACTCCACTCCATGTAAATCTTCAGTCCCAGATAAGCATCTGTCTCAAAAAGTAGAAAATATATCACAGCTTCTAAATGTGTTTCAAGAAATCTTCAACACAGATGGTAAGAATTATTACAATATTAAAAGATAATATAGTTATTTGTGTGGATGTATGTAAGTCGTATGAATGTAGATGGTGCGTTAAATCCTCTTATAAGGAACTATAGATTTTCTTTAAAAAGGGATTGGAGTACTGTATTGTAAAAAGTTTAAGTTGTCTTACAATATATAAATTCACTAGATCATAGTCGTATTTTTTCACTTGCTAGGGATGAAAAGATTTATTTATTATTACATTTATATTTTTTTATTTACACAATACAATGATGATTGATTCATACATGTAAATTGCTATTAAAATGTGTATAGTATTCAAAATAAATTTTTGACATTAATTATATTTTGTAGTGTACAGGAGACATAGAATATCTGAACAGCTCAAAGTTGAAAAAGAAGTATTTCCTAAATGCATACAAGCACCTATAAAATATTATAACAAACAAAAAAGTATTAATACTTCATTAAATAATAAGGAAAACAGAAGACAGACTGTATATCGTGGGGAAACTATATCCTATAAAAGGAAGTTTAAAATGGATAAAACTCAATATATAGAAAAGTGGTTTCAAGATAATCAAATTAATTCACTACGGAAGCCATTATCAGATTTAAATATCAAGAACCAAAATGTTTCAAATGAAGTATATAAACTTAATAATAATGTTAATATTACATTAAGAGAAGATAAGTTAAAAAGTCAAAATAAGAAAACAAATTTATCAAGCAACTTAAAAAGTAAAGAAAAGTACATTATTACAGAAAATAAAAGTAGATCTACTAATGTAATTAGTAAGCACAAACCAAAAGTAAGAAAAGGTACTGTTAATAAAGTGTTAAACAAAAGTAAGAAGCTAATATCTGATAATTTAAATCGATACGATAATGATGAAAGTGGAATTGTAATGGATTATGACTATTTTATTATAGAGGATACACCAACTGAAATTATTGATAAAGACAAAGTAGCATTGCAGGCTGTTGAAGACTCTGAAAAACAAGAACAATCTCACTATATTCCTGAGTTAAAATCAATTAACATTAAAAATGTGACAGAGATAAATAAACATCTTTCTAATTGTAGTCACTTTATATATAAGAAAAATGATGGTAGTGTTAATGTGCCATTTATTAAGAAGGGACTATTCTTTGAATCATGCATGTTTTGTAGATATGATTTAAATAAAACAGATGCAAGAAATAGGAACTCAAATAATTTTTCAATTCACATTGATAATGATAATTTTGTAGTTGATGTAAAAGTTTCTAGAATAGAACACACAATAAATATTAAAGACTCTATTGCAGTGCAAACTGACATTAGTGAAATAGTACAAATAAATAATGATGTACTTGGTATTACAGACAAAAAATTGTGTAGGAAAAGCCAAGACTTATTTATAGATGAGCCAAATAAATTTGATCGTGGAACAGCATATAGACATGAAACTACACCCCTGGAAGAAAAGTTTAATAGTAGTGAATATAAAAATAAACCACTAATCCCTGAAAAAAAAAGTTTAATTATAGAAGAGTCAGACAGTGACTTAGATGTGGATTCAAAATATATTAGTTTAGATGTCACTGCTGAAGTACATAGATCTTGTGAACCAAGGTAAATTGTTTTATTTTAACTATAAACTCTATATAATGTAGTTATATTTTGAAAAATTATATTCCCATTGTTTTAGCTCTATCTGAATATATATATATATATACATATCCTTAAATTTTTTACTTATGGTTAGACATTTTACAGTTAGTATGATATACTGCTACATGATGATACTTTCTGATTTAAGTCCAAACTTTGTATTGTATCGTTTACGGTTATTCCTTTTATAATTAAATGTTATAAATCCGAAAGTGTGTCTGTCAGTTCTATTGTCTATTTGTTACCTTTTCATTACTAAAGGGCTTGATGAAAATAAATTGTATCCAAAAGGCTGTGTTTGTTTATTAAGATATTTAGTCACAATATTTCAATGAATATTTCTTTTTGACAGGGACTATGGAATTTTAACCGAAATACCTCCAAATGATTCTAATATAAGAAAAAGATGTGCAGAGCGTGGAACAACTCCAGGCAGCACAGATTCTTCTGACAAAGAGAACTATGATCCTAATAGAAACAAAAGACATAAATACAGGAAGAAGGATTTAAAGAAAAAATATTGATATTATTTATTTAATTATTATTACGATGCTAAATTATCTCAAAGCCTCTGTTGTGTCTATTTTATGTTTTTGTAATGTTAATCAGAATTATATGATTTTTAAGTTTTGAACATTTTTCAATCAATCCAATTTTAAAGGTAATGTTCTATCTAAATTTCAGCTTGTACTAATACTTCCATAATATTAATAAATAAATAATGTAATGTGCTATACTAAAAAAAAACTAATATTTGTATTAGTTATATATAAAGTTAATGCCTCGCCTTATATGATTGATTTCGTGTTTATCGTGAATTTTATAGAAATTTGTCCATAATAAAGAAATAATTTAGGTTAAATACAAATTTCGTACTACCTGTTGTACTTACTTCGTTGTTATACGAAAGAAAAATACTAAATTGATTACAATAATGAAATAATATATGAGACTACAAAACAGATCCTACAGTTGCGTCGTACGAGTAACGAGTACCTACGTAGGTATAAGTCAATCAAACCCGCTTTATTAATTTAGCACTTATATTAGCGGGGAACTAAGTTACGTAGATATGCAATAATGGTTAGTAGTTCTTGTAATATTATCTGTGGTTGTAGTTTAGTATTGAGAATCCTACTATATACCTAATGGCGAAGTATATTTGGATGTGAGTTGTTTAGACATATTTAATATAACTAATCGAATTTGAATATAAGGAATTTAGAGTAATTAGAACATATTAACTTACTAATTTTTTTTTATGGATGATAATGGAATGGTCCGCTAACGGTTTACTCTGGCGGGGCACCAGTGGAGGATGATAAGATGAACACGAAGTCAGATCAGTTAGCCCATCGTGACAAATTCTCCAGGAATTTATCACGATGGTTTCCAGGGGGAACCGCGTGGAGGTCAACCTGACATGGTACATTGCTAGTAATGGGATCATGAGTCTACATTACTAGCAACCCCCTTCCTTACTTACTAATATTATAAACGTGGAAACGTGTGGATAAATAAACGGATGGATAGATGTTTGTTATTCTTTCACACAAAAAGTACTTGATTTGATGAAACTTCGTGAAAATATAGCTTATACATTAGAATAACACAGACTATAAATTTCACGCGGGTGAAATCGCAGGCATAGCCGGTATTAACTAAAATAGTGATACTATTTCACACTAACAGAGTTTAGTTACAGATTACAACAAAATAAATAAATAAAAAAGAAATAGGAGGTAAGAATTTTATTTTTTCAAATTAAACTAACATCACATGTCTAGAGATCACCACCAGCCCGAGGAGCCGCCACTTGACCATCCGCTGCTGCCGCCTCCTCCGCCGAGTTTCCAGCCGCCGCCGCCGCCTCCACCGCCGCTAGACCAGCCGCTGCTGCCGCCGCCGAGTTTCCAGCCACCACCTCCACCGCCGCTAGACCAGCCACTGCTGCCACCGCCCAGTTTCCAGCCACCGCCGCCGCTACTGCCACCGCTGGACCATCCACCGTGACCACCGCCTGAAATAATGAAAGCATCATAAATAAATGTTATAGAGGAGAAGTGCATCAAGTATAAATAAGGTTTATTTAATTTGATAAATTATTTCGTATGTATAACAACATTACGACAGTATTCGAACTTATAATTCAATTTATTGCGGGTATGTTTGATACTAAATAATTAACCCTGGACAATTAACACAGCATCATCTAGTCCCACGATAAATTTGTCGAGACGAGACGAGACGATTTGTCGAGTCGACGAGATTGTGTTATGGGTACTAGACAACTGATTTAAATACTTAGATATTTTTTTTGTAAATACATACCTACATAATGTACAAAGAAAACACCCATACCGATACAAACAATCATATTCATGATTGTTTGCACTGTGCGAGGATTCGAACCTGAGATCATCGAAAGTAAAGCTGTGTGCAGTATAAAAAGAATTACCTAAAATGCGATCAGTAAAAGACTACTCTCGAAATATGATGAACATGTTAGGTATGGTAGCGTATAAATTAAAAGAAGATACATTAATATTAAAATAATAACAGATATTAAGTAAATTTCATTGTGTCATAAGATGTTGCGTTAGACATTGGCAGGTAATTACGCTCGAATGGGGGAATGGATGACCCTATGTGAATGACTTAGTGACCTCTAAAGTATGAGTACCTACACAGTACAGTTGATGTAGGCAATGTTATTAGGGTAATTGGTAAAATTCAATATCAACGTTTAAGGTCATTCTTTAACCTTTCCCTTCAATTATGATAAACTAAAATTTTATTGAAATTTCACAGAACTTTGATTAATTATATTTGTATTTTTATAAAAAATACAAATATAATTCAAATTCAAAATCATATCAAATTTTATGTTCATGAATATGGAATAGTGCATCCGCCTACGCTAATAGTAGGTAGGTAGGTACACCTACGCCTACGAGGTGTGTGTAATTTTTGGTCTAAAGATCATAAATGTCACATGGTAAAATGTAGGTCATGTATCTACATGTTAAATATTGAACCCAATATTTAATATATATCTACATAAATGTACAGGATGATTTGTAATGAACTACTAATCTTATCATTTTAATAAGTAGCAAGATAACGTAAAAGAAAGTACATTGCAACTTACCATAACCGCCGCCGCCGCCGCCAGTAGAGATGATTTTGATAATCTTCACCTCTGAATGGGAACAGAACAATCGTATTAAGTATCTATAGTAATGAAAGATCTATCTCACATATAATTTCATATAACTTCTAGTTATGTTGCGTTAATTCTTGTTTACATATAAGTACAGTGTACGACACAGGTACAAGGATCTTTATAGGATTTATACTGTGAACAGAATATAGTTCCATTGGCTAATCATATAGTTAAACACTTACGTCCGCCGCTGCCGCCGCCGCCGCCGGACCAGCCTCCACCGCCACCACCACTGGACCAGCCGCCACCTCCACCCCCTAGTTTCCAACCACCGCCGCCGCCGCCGCCGCCGCTTGACCAGCCGCCGCCGCCGCCGCTTGGCCAGCCACCGCCTCCCCCGCTCGACCAGCCTCCGCCGCCTCCCCCGCTCGACCAGCCGCCGCCGCCACCCCCAATGTAACCGGCATGGACAGCGACCGCTAGGGCCAATACACACACGAAGACCTGCAAATTCAGGAATTTTTAACAGTTTTATTTTATGTAATCATTAAGGCTATCTAAATTACAATTAAATGATAAGTTCTATAACTAGTAAAGTTAGAATTCATTAATGTTTGTATTGTGATTGTTTGGATACACGGTAAGTATGTTAATTGATATTCGGTAATAAGTATGTTACCTTCATTCTAAAGCTGTACGGTAACTGCTTGCTGATGTTAGGATGTATCGCGTTATATATATATGGCGGGAGATTTCACCTCCCACCTTTGGTGCGCATGCAGCACAGCACCAGTAGGCGCTGCGACGGCCCGCGAGGACCGTGAAGAGTCGAGCGGAAGCTGTTCCGTGGCCGACAATGATGCAAGCCATTGTCCCTGTGACTGCTTAGCGTTGTTTAGGCTAATCCTATTATCACTGTATTACGTAGTGAACGATGCATTATAATATATAGGTAAAAAGTTATATGTTATATTCCTATATATATATATAGTTATTAAGATGGAATAAGTATACCTAACTGCAATGAATCAAATAATTATTTAGTGCATATAATATAGGCATGTTGTAGTTAATTACTATACGTACTATTACTATTAAGAAATCCATTCTTGAAAAAATCCTAAAGTCAATCCATATAGGTGTCGATCAGGTTAGATGAGTGAATGAATTAATGATAGTCACTACACAAAATAAGATATAAAAATACATTTAAATTCAGAAATGTCAGATGCTTTTAATTAGTTGAATTAATAATATTACTCAAAACTTTTTATATATTTAAATATTTTGTATTGTTTTCAGCTTTTCGGGGATAATTTATCAAAAATGCTTAATACTATTACTACACTATACCATATTCCCAACATGTTCTTATACAATGTTTCAAACTTAATATAGGTACAAACTATTTGATAAGTGAAACTGACATATTACCATTAATATCATGCGGCGGTTTAATGATTCTTTTTTATTTAGAAGCTGCTGCTTCTCATGTGGTCTGCATATAAATTTGGCCCTACTGGTCAGTTTTGAGTTATTCTATGAAATATAAGTTGCTTTTTTCGTGACCAGAACACGGTATTATGTTATAGATATACAATTTGTAATGGACTGACTGCATAGTCGAGTGGTAGACGTGGATAGATAGTAGAGCTATTAGGTGTGTAATCTAAAGCAATTTTGTGGATTCTAACTAGCACTCTAAGATCGAGTCGGGTAAATGCTCAGTGTGGTCGGGTCTGTATCAAATGACAGCAGGTACCTAAGTTTATAAGTATTCTGAATGTGTAAATCAATATTTCAGTAAATCATAAGAAGCCAATAGGCTAATTAAAAAGCTTCATATTATTAAAAGATCACAAGGAATGAAAAGTGGTCGATTACAGCGTACCTAAATACGTGATCATCGAAAGAAATGTGCTAGACCTAGTGTGGTTTCTTGAGACGTATTTTATTTAGATAAAAACGAGTTAACGTATAAAGAATTCGTTTTTAATTTTTAGGTCAGGTCAGAACAAAAAAAATCAAAATATTATTACTGGAGATATTCGCAAAATCTTGAAATGGTCATACTGAATATGATACCTATGTACAATTAATTAGAAAAATCCGACAGCGTTCTGATATAGTCGCATTAGTTTACCACGCGAAATATAGTACAAAAGCGGTCTTACTAACAGCCTGCTTAGTAGCACTGTAGGTTGCGCAATGTAGTACCTGGCATCTAAAATAAATAATTTTAGTTTTTTCATGATGGCCAGAAACTGATTGCGTTGTGACAGGTGAGGTGGTGTACCACCAGACTACGACATTTTCACTTTCCTTGGACACTTATTCTTGCTTTGGAGTCTGTTAACATATTGCTGAGATAATAATGATTAGATTAAATGTATCCCCATTACACATATTGATGTTTAAACGAACTTGGAAAATAGCTTTAAACAGGTAAATAATTACGCTACAAAATTAATAATTTCTGCGTCTAATTTGGTATTTTAATCGTCATCTGATCATTTTAACGATTGTACCTAATGATAATAAGAAACTCAGTTGAAGATTACAGTGAGGGCATGTGAACTTACTTTACAATATAGTATTGTTACTTATGCATTTAGGCATAAAACATTGCATCCTATGTTTGTGCCGCAATAGCTAGGTAAAATCAAGGATAAAATACTACATCATATAGGTTATAAATAATTTATCAAAATCAAATAAATTGTTATAATCTTACTAGTCTCCGTAGTATACATTAACAAATAGGCACAACAAACAAACAATTTACGAAATGAAACTTAGCAATATTTACGGTTTGTAGCATTTATAATACGATGACGATAATAACAATTTATCTCGAGAAAGGTTTGCATTGGACTTCTAAAATAACTACTGTGCAACTAAATAATAAAACGCATAGGAAGCATGTGATGCTGGAAAATGAAGATTGTATAGACATAATACTTGGCTAAAGTATAAATTTTTATTCAATGAAACTTAATTTAAGCATTCTTGGAACATTTATTTACGAAACAGTAAGTTTTGTTCCAAATAATTAAAAAACTTTACATTACAGACGGTTCACTTTATGAATTTTTATTTAACTGTAATTTAAGAATTTAAAATTTTTGGATCATACCTAATATGTGATGATGTTCCATAAGGATAAAATGATTAATTATAAATATTAAATATAAAATTCAAATGGATGCTCCGTTTACATAGACGAAGTCGCGGGCATTACTAGTTTATATTAATCAAACGAAAGCTAATATTGTAAGTTTTGTTGATACGTTTGTTTTAACTTGCATACATATATTAAGAAATTTATATTACCCGAAGCACTTATGTAAATTTATTGCATTTCATATCATGTCGTTGCATTTGGATGCTATGTGTGGTAAAAATAAAAATAAACATAATAAATCGCTAGTTTATATTTACCAACTAATTAAAATTGCAACAACATTATTACATGTAACTTTATGAATTTTGCATACATAATGAGTAGTAATGCAGTAATTGCGCTCTTAACTGTTATATATATAATATTAAATGTGTATTCTGCTTTGATTATTGCAATATAGTGTCAAAATACTTTGTCGTAACAGTTAGTAGCACTTAATTATGTGGTGGCTACAATACCATTGTGTGAACGTTATGCTCAGTGCGAAACATTGCACTCGAGTGCGTCTAAACTAAATGACAACAGTTTTGAATTTGAACATTAGGCATAAGATACATACTAAATTACATGATGACACTACTGCTATTATTCAGCTGTAAGGCATAAAATTTATTCAGTAAACTTACAATCGCTCTCTTATAAGTATTCCCTTATATTTCCGATAAGAATCGGACGGCCCGTGTCTACGTATGATGCCTTATGTTGCTACGCTTTGCTCATTTTGCAAATAATCTAATCGAGGGGCATCGTGGGTACGGTCCCAGCAGTCCGGATAGAACTAGATAATATGAGCCAAAGTTAAGACTTCAGACTTCAAATTCTAATATTATATCCAACATCAGCGCTCATACATACATTTGCAATAAATAAATAATATTTAAAAATAGGCCATTTCAAATAATCACTGTATTTCCAATATAATAAAAAAGTAAACTTATTATGTTCGGCTTATACAAACAAAGTATAACAGCAGTATTTTGGTTCCATTACTGATTGAAATAAATAAAAATTGGGTTTATTATAAAAAAAAATACGATTTTTAAAACGAAGCGAAATGTGATTTAATTTTCGTAAAACTATTTAAATAAGGCATATCGACATACATAAAATGGTTGTGTCACTGCAACGGTGTTTAAATCAATATTAAAAAATTCTACTATTTAATTTTGACTGTAAGATACACTTCACAGTGCATATCGCACGTTACCGATCAATGTTATATAAAAATTCTTTAGAATAATGTTTGACATAAGTGGGCAACGATGTGTGCATACAAAAGACTTCAACGCGTCATGTGCTTGTATTGATTGAGTGACTTTTTATATGATTACACGGAGAATGAAAATGTGCAGAGAAGGTAAGCATTGGCGTTTAATACTGTATGTAAAATAATAGTTAATGAAAAATAGAGAACAAAACAAAAAATATAATATATGAATTTACAATCGAAATAAATTGGAATGAGTCTGAATGTAGCAATTCTTATTTTCTGAGGTAACGCACTATAGATCAGCAATTGGTTATTTATGTCTCTAAGACTAGTAAAGAACGCAAATGTTCAAGTTGAGATTATAAGACAAGGTTGAGGAGGTGTGTAATCACTAATTATTACGCGTGGTTCCCAAACAAATGTGGCAATAAGGTCATTGCTTTTGAATTTATTTTTATAAACAGCACATAAAGCAATACAATCTCCCGATGTATCGAATACATACTTAGGTAGTTATAACACCGGAATAAACGTCTCATATATAAGTAGATATTTATCTATTTGATTGAAATATCACGAAATAATGTTATTAATGATATCCACAGAAGTAATAGGTACAATACTGATATATAGATAAAATACTGATCATTATTAAGACTCATTTTGGTGCCGTATACAATAAAAGTATTGAACAAAATAATTAGTCAGATCAGATAAATATTACCAGAATAGTGAATGCTTATTCTAAAACTTCCACAATGATCTACTTTAATGAGGATTAATACGTATAATATATACAAGCGTTAATATAAAGCCAAATATTATGTGGATATATAAAAAGTATATTTAATTTATATTCATGTGAACCAAGTATTTTATCCAAAACCATTTAGCTTTTACTGCATGTTTATTATTATACTAGCTGAGGTTGTACGAGTGTACATATAACCCATCCTCTTGAATCACTCTATCTATTGCTAAAATCTGCATTAAAATCCGTTGCGCAGAAAAGATCTAAGCGAACAGACAGAGGAAGCGATTTTATTTTCTACTAAGTAAAGATTGCATAATAATATTGTTTATATATATAGACAATTACCTATATGTACGTGTTTATTTATATATACAAAAATATATTTAATTAGTAAACAAGTAACTTAATGAAATACTAAATTGTAGATTATATTTTGATAACTGAAATAGGTAAACGACTCGATCAGTAAGCATTAATAAACAAAACTAAATGCCTATTGTCGTATAAAAATAATTTTATTGAGAATTAACTTAAACATTTATTTGTGATAAATATAATAAATTGGCTTAAGATGTTGTAATTACTTGAATTTAATAAATGTGAATTCCGTACAAATTGAAACGTGAGGTCAATAGACTAATCAATAATATAGATCGATGTTATAATCCCCAGTGTATTGTAATTTATCATTTCGATTTTTAATTAAGTAATATATTGTTTTT